GGTTTCAGCGGGTCTCTGCGTCATTTGGCGCAACGAATCCACTCGAGGCCCGGCGGCAGACGGGAGAGGGTCACCGGCTAACGCCGGCGAGCTGGTGGTTGGTGGCGGCTCGATCCACTCCTGCATCCTTCTTCCACTTCCCCGATGGCGAGGTCAGATGCGACCTGGGGGTTGGTGGCGGCTCGATCCACTCATGGATCCTTCTTGTTTCACTTCTCCGCTGCCTAACACCGAGCACTGGTCAAGGAGCATGGTATCGACGACGGCAGCCGGAAACATGACTTAAAATGGGACTTTACACCAAAAAATAAGAATGTGTGCAACAAACCTATTAGAGGGGATTAAACCATGAAATTTTATTTCATTGTGGGCATGGCTTTAGCATGTCTCTGCGCTATTCGGCGCAACGGGTCCACTGGTTTCATTAAAAGGGAAAGGTGTAGAGGGTTCGGATTGCAGGAATAAGTCGCTTTCATTTCCAGAATAGAAGCTAGGATCTTTGACCAGACACAATGGCATGCTGCCATTAGTTTTTAATGATTACTAGTATTATACTGAATTTTTCATGCTGCCATGGGTGATCTATGAGGACACCCTTTCCCTCGAATAAAAGAGGGGACACCCTAATTATTGTTTATGACTGTCATCAGGAGCATATGAATCTATTGGGATGTCACATGTCTTAGACTCTTGAGATTAGATTAGCTAGATGGCCTCTCAAGAAGGAAAGATGGGCGGTCTCATACCCGGCAGGCATCCTGGTTGAAGAGTGCGCCGGACTGGTGAGTGCCCCATACTCGGCAGGCGTCCTGGTTGGGACCTCAAGTCTTAGATGTTAGGTTTGGCTGCGAGGTTTATTAGGTATTAGGCCCAGACTATCAGCATCCCTACATCAACTGGATAGGAGTAGCGACAGATGTTGCCTAGACGGTGGCTTTAGTTTTACTGTTGTATGACTTTGTAAGGTCATGTATGAATAATTAATAAAGCGGCTGCATGCATCGTCCAGATGCAGAGGCCAGGGGTCCTCCTCCTTTTCTAAAAAAAGAAAAAAAGATGGGCTAAGACGCATACTGGTTGGTGGTATGGGTGCCGCTATATTTTATCATTTATAATTGGCATCCTTTTTATGGACATCAAGAAAACACAGGTGTCCTGATTTGGAATTTTAGAGGTCCAAGTATATGTGTATGTGCAATGCACGTGTTTTGTGAGGTGCTTAGAATAAAGCGGTCATTTTCTTTTTTGCCTATATGATAAATTATTTGATAGAAATGCCATTTAACAATTTGCCTCAAACAAGTGCATGATACAACAATTTAAGCATGTAAATAGTGCGCTTGCATCAGATTGGAATGAGCCTCGACGTAAATGCTTGCTCATATCTAAACCGGCGATGGTGCTCTTGTATTCAGCTTGTCTAGAAGTCGAGGAATGACGCGTCTTCAATCACGTCTGCTACGATGTTGACATCATCTTTGCTAGGTCATGGTATCATCTCCACCGCCACCGCTCTTTTGGGTTATCTGGAAGTCGATGAACGACATGATCTTCAATCACATCTGCTACGACGTTGACATCATCTTTGCTAGGTCATGGTATCATCTCCACCGCTACCTCTCTTTAGGGTTATCTGGAAGTTGAGGAACGATATGATCTTCCATCGCGCCTGCCACG